TGTTTCTCATGTTTATTAAGGTTTTTGAAATGACATTACTGGTTTCATCTTCCAAAAGCGTTACAAACCCGTTCTGCTGGCCCGAGTAGGCGGATGCTCGATTACCGCCCGCCCACAGGTTGTCAAGTGCGTTGCTGATCACTGGTTGCTGGCTCCTCACCGTATCTCTCCTGCCCATTTCGCGACTGACCGGTATGAAAGGGCATTATTCCCAACAGCTTCCATCAAATTCCTGTAACATTCTTGGGCATTTTTTTTTCCATGGAGAACGGCTGTCTTGGGTGTATGAGCGATGCTCAAAACGGATTACATTAATCTCGCACGGCGGGAGCGAGACAACTGGTTTCACATTGAGCCAATAGAAACACTCAGAGACATCTGTTGATGTGAATACACTCTACTGCAGCATTTTTTTCATGCTACAAATCAAATTGGACGTTCCAAAAACATTTCTTAAAAAAAAAAAAGAGTTGCCATGACTGCTCCAACCCTCGTGTAATAATTGAATGGACCGCGCGCGCGACAGGGCAGCTCGAAAAATTCTCTCATTTCTGATCTCGCTTCACACGAACCCGACTTACGGGCGAAGTAAAAGCGTCCCAAACACCTCGTGGAATAAGGAATCTGAAACAGCGCAACGAGACCTGAAACATGAATTTCGTACTTCTGTGCACGCAGTGCGCAGTGCTGCCAATGTAATCTGAGTTTCGTGTGTTGTAGGACAGACCATAGATCCACGCAAATGGCAGCAATGGTCACGCTGCGGTGGATTGAACGCGCATTGCACTTTCCTTATGTGCACAAAACTCCACTATAAAACTCTCGGAAGCTGGAGACAGAGGGATTTGGAGAGAGTTAGCCGACGTGCCGTGGACGAGTGTGAAAAGTCGTGATTATAGTGAACTGGATAGGTCCCTGGATAATCTTGCTTTGAAACTGTAACTTGGGTCTGGTATTTGGACATCTGGCATTTTGGCAACTGTCTTTGGAATCAACTTTCTCTCTTGGGCTCACTGAACATTGGCAAAGCGTATGTTACTGATTTGGAAACGAAACTTTACCAAAACTTTGTTAGAATAAACTTGTGTTGTAGTTATAATTTGTGACTACTTATTTGCAACATTTCACTTTTGTACTCTTCAGTCAGCATTTATTTATATAAGAGGAGCTTAAGGCTAATTTGCCATTTAATTTCATTTTATGCTTCCAAGAGTTTTACCTTCCCTCGTGAGTGATACCCAACACATGGCAATATTTAGAGGGTGTTTTTTAATGAAATGTCATATTTTCTTTTCACTTTAGGACAATGCAGTTTAGTATATAAATTCAGTTTTTGTTATGACAAAAGAAAATGCACCATTTTTATTTTCATTTTTGTCGACATCGACTAATAAGTCACTTTTTACCTTTTTACCTAATTTTAATGCAGTTTTCGTTGGTTTCGTCGTTAGTTATTTAAGGTCGCATTAACTTCTAGGTCATTAGCGACCACTATTGCATGCAATGGTATGGTAAATGTGAGGATGACACGATATGATGATAGGGGGTGAAAGGACGAACACAATACAACCATGACCGAGGCGGGACTCCAATCCTTTGGTCCGAGATCGCTAGGGCACTACTGCCTTAGCGATCTTGGCCACCAGATTGGTAAAATTAGATTTTGTTTTATAAGTTTTCATTTTTTTCTATTTTGTTATTATTTTATGTTTATTAGGAAATATAAATAATGGAAAACAAAATTGTAATACTTATAATTATTATTAAATTGTAATCTATTGTTACTTGAATATTGAACGCATTAGACCTAAACTAAAAATAATATTTTTTAAAGAAAACAGAACAGTAATTTGTAATAACTAGAGGGTAGATTTTAATGAAATGTCATTTTTTCAGAAATTCATTTTGTGACATGACAAAACGAAATGACATTTTTTAATGCATTTTTTGAGTTCCACTAAGTCATTTTTTACTCGATATCATCATTTTTACTGCATTTTTTGCTGATTTTATCAACTTTAATATAATTTTAATGGTACTTGCTTCGAACAATATTTACGAGGTGAAACAAATGTTCACCACAGAATTCCTAAGTCGCCTATTAGATTTCTTCGCTCATATATAGTAGTGTCAGGCATTATGAGTACTATGTAATCTAAGGTTCCTGTGACAGGCCACATCATCGCCATTGACAGTTCGACCAATTTCGCGATACATAAAGGTAGAGATTTTCTTTTAAAGAACAGTCCAAACCAAACGTTTGCGAGCTGAGTTCACTTGAACACGAGGAAGAAACTTCGATTACATCAGTAACATATCCAACAGCTTCAGTTGTTTATCTAAAGTGGTTTTCATTAATTTTTAACGTCATTTTCTTTGTTGTTAGGGCATTTTTAAAGCATTTAAAGAGCATTTTACTGATCATTTTGGGCAATGTTTTTGCTCAAAATCCGCCCCTAGTAATAATGCTCCCGAGATTTTGACTTGAAAATGACTTCATGGACTTTGGGGTAGTCGGAAAACGTGAATTCCCATTTTTACAAAAGTTTTTTCAAACATAATAATCAGTGAAACTATTCAGAAGTTCAAGAATTTACGAGTGAAAAAATAATGGTAACTCATAAGAATCATTCAAATTATCTACCATGATTACGGAGATTAAATTTACCAAATGCTACTTATCATACAGACAGCCTCGTCAAAGTTCAGTAACTGCTTCTTTTTTGTAAGTTAGGATAATACATTTCCCACCGTTTTTAACAGCCATTTGGGTAGAACGGTTAACACTAACAGATGGTTTAAAGTATTCTACGCAAGCGCAGCCTAAAACGTGAAGGGTACCGCATTTCTGGGCTCCCTTTTTCATTTAATTGTTTTTATTTACTTATGATATATTTTACTAGAAAATAAATAAAACATTCTAAAAAGTCGTATCTTTGGTTTTTTTGTTAAACCAATTACAGGGCTGTCAGGTGACTTGGAGAGCCTCTTCGCCTAAAGGTGTATACCAGTTCCAATTGTCAGGATAAACGTGGAAAATAAAGGGATAACACGTTGAAAGAAATAAAATATTTATTGTGAAAGGTTAATCGGGTTCCTTAGAAATTTTCAGGGAGGGTGGGCATGTCCCTCCTGAAAATGAAAGTTATTAAACATGTCCTCCTCCACGGTTTAAAAAGAAGTGTGGCCCAAAACAACACTTTGCCTAAAAATCTTGATCATTACTATGAACATCAAAAAATTGTTATTTCTTCTTAAGAATTAGTCAAATGCAACCACGAACCATGATCTTCGCTCGATCCCCCTTTATATCTCTAATATTTACACTTACATAATTTCATGAGGGGGCGGAAAAACGTATCACTTATGAGGTTTTTAACATAATTAATTTTTTTCTCTTTGCGAGATGTCAGCGCTGGCTACGTGCAAAGTTACAAATCTATACTTCTTTAAAACAGGCCTGCACAGCATTTTGCAGTTCGTCTGACTTCGAGAGCTGCGCGTGAGCCACTCGAGTGCAAATGCCGAGGAATTTGAAGGATGGTAATGAGGCAACTTCTACGAGTGGGGGCCACCAATGAGAATGCGCAATGAGAACCATAGCACATGAATTGAAAGAGCAATTGATGAGAAAATGACGGCCAGATACAGTTCAAGTGACATTGCCTTTTGTATTACGTTGGAAATATTTGTTAAATGTTGTCGATATATGACAATGTGAAATATGAAACTACAACGAATTTGAACTACAACATATTTGATTTGAACAACAAATACTATAATTGCTATTATGGCTCATAACGTAATTCGTTTTGCTAAGATGCAATCACAAATATAGTGTTTCGCTAAACATAACATTATGGTACTGAATTGTTATAGTTTTATGATGACAGCAAGAAACTATTTTTTCATTAACTATGTTTAATTGAATTACACGTTTTTCTCAAAGCTAAAAAAGTATTATTCTTCTAAAAACCATGATTATTTTATGCTCTAATTTCTGACAAGAGTTCATTATATATTTCTAATATAAAATCAACGAACACTATTTATTCATCATTTACAACATGGTATAAAATTATTAAGCCCTTTGCATTCTATTTAACAAGGCCCATGGTAATCTCATGATTGCTCATATCTTATCATCAGAGAGGTTTACTCGTTGATATCTTCAGATTCATAATGGGGGAAATTGAGGAAAAACATTCTTGCAATTACCTATTTTTATGTCAATCTTGATGTGAGAGATTGCTCTCATCATTTCGCTATAATTTGGCGATAACATTCCAAACAAATAGTTGAATAAGTGGGAAAATTATTCCACAGCATTAGACTCCCCGGCATTCAATGTATGCGTCGTGCAAAATTAGTCTTCTCCCCTCCCCGCAAAGCTTCACCCACCTACTACTAGCATTTTCGTGTCTCTCGCGGATAGACAGTCGGCTCAAAACTGCAGAACGCCTGTGGGAGCAGGCATTGTGCAGGCATGCCTTAAAATATAAGTATTTTCCCCTCCTCGTTATCTTATTAAAATAGTTTTTGAACAGAAGGAACAGAAAAAAGGGCATTTAAATGGAAATGAATAAAGACATACAATATTTAATTTCAATTAGTACGTTATAATAAAAACATTCTTTACAAACATGTTTTACATTCTTTGGTGACACATCGTCGCAGAGATAAAGTATAGTAAGAAACTTAATAGCAACAATAAATCATTATTTTTAACGTTTTTAATTAGGCTTAATACCCTTTTATGCGTGTGCCTTATATTCACCCTTACGAAACGGGGAACTGTCATCGGCGAATGTCAGTTTAATTTAGAACACTGACGTACACTGGGAAGATATTGAGAGCAATCTAGAGGTTATTAAACAAATTAAAACATATTGGTTATGTACGTTCGCGTTGAGATGGCGACACGTCCAGCTTTCTACTATTCTTTGGAAATATCTTTTAAACTTTCGCAGCGAAAGTTTCGCTACAAGCACTTTGATTCTTGGTAATCCTCAAAGAGAGTACCGGAGAGTACAAGCCGATGCTCTAATTTGGGCCATGGTCAGTAAATTGCAGTAAATCAGTGGGCCGTCTTAGACAGGTCTTAGACGAAGGGCGAATTATAATCTGCTGGGATACAGTTATCCAATCGGGATCTTCAAAGTCAAAAAGTTATCGAAGAAAACTGAAGCTCCTGATTGCACAATGGCATCCGAGTGATCACTGCCAAGTCTCTTCCATTTTTTAAATCAGAATATAGATGCTCTGTGCTTTGCATTGCAGTTTGCAACCATAGATCGCCACAGACGAACTATGTGCTCCTTGGGTTATCTGCGTTTGCGTGGTTATAATAACGCTTGAAGTGCGGGCAAGAGGTTAGGGAGTCTCCGAGATAATTTTATTTATTGTTTTTTCTTTGAGTGACTGTTTCGAGAATATTACATCTGTTTTGGACGGATTCTTAATTTTACTCCAACCATTAATAAATTGTACTGCACTAAAATCAAACACTAATGTCTACTAGATGGTATGAAATAATATTTACCTTGTTTATATTTTCTGCCACTTTCTACTTGTATGTAACGTGTTCATTTTTCAGGTATCCGATATATAAACGTGGAAGTCCACAGTTACGAGTGTTTTTGCCCAATTTTTGGATCAAACTAATTAGACCGGTTCATAAGCAACCTCCAAATGTAGTGCAATTTGTTGTCTCTGTGGAAATGACCAAGCATGACGTTAAGAATTACCTAGAAAAAATTTATAATGTTCCTGTAGTTCAAGTGTTTACCCGGATTGTGTCAGGTTGTTGCCTCTCTGCTTTTGTGAAGCATGTGAATAAAAAACAATAACTGAATTTCGTGAAATGTTTCAGGAGAAACTCGCCAGGACCCAGGTAAAGGATATGTTGTGAAAGATGATGACTACAAGTTGGCATATGTAACATTGGTAAGAAGAAAAATTTCTAATGTGATATTAATTCAAAGTTTTTCCATTACTATGAATTTTTCAAATTTTATTTCAGCCTCAGGGGAAAACATTTGAGTTTCCAGAACTCTATCCAAAGGAAGAGGAAAGTGAACAAGATAAAACCCAAAAAGAACTGAAAAAGCATTTCAAAAACTTTGTAGACAGGAACAAGGATAGACCTGGTGCACCTGGATGGTTTTCATTCTAATTGTGTAGTGATACCTATTATATACCTGTCTCAAGTTGTCAGAAGATGGTAATTGGCCAACCCTAATGGCTAGCGTAAATCCATATTCCAAGCATAGTCGTGCAGACTGGTCTAGGTTGCATAAAAAATATGATCCTTTGAAAGCTGGGAGTATTGATGGAACAGACACAGAACCTCATGATCATGGCATTGAGAGAGCACTTGAGGCAGAATATTTCCCTGATAGAAATGTGAAGGGTAACCCTGAATGTACATTATTTGTTGCAAAATTGTCAAAATCAACCACAGAAAAATCTTTGAAAAAGGCATTTGTAAGTTTTGGTCGAATACGGAGATGCAGAGTTGTACGAGACATTGTGACTGGTACATCTAAAGGATATGGGTTTGTGGAATTTGAAGATCAATCATCAGCTTCAATGGCTTATGTCAGAAGTAGCAAACTTACTGTGGATGGTAACCTAGTATTTGTGGATTTCGAGTGTGAGCGATTACTTCCTGGTTGGATCCCTCGAAGATTAGGGGGAGGTTTTGGAGGGAAAAAGGAATCTGGACAACTCCGATTTGGGGGTCGTGCACGTCCATTCAAGAAGCCTCTTGTGCCAGGAACATCTCAACAAACTGATGATGGAAGAAGGAAAGATTGAAGCAGTGCAAAGTAGTTATTTTTTGTGTATAAAAATTCACCAATAAAGTTCTTTTAGTGGTTTTCAGTTACATTCAAATTCTAATTCTTTCATTAATATTTATTATAAACAATACATAAGGAAATTTAAGTTTGTTACAGATTAATTTAAAAAACACACATCACTTTGTTGTCACTTTCCAGAAGCCTAACTGGTAATCATTTCCAGCACACACATATGGAAGGTGGTGATGCCAAGAAATGTTTGTTGTAAGCTGCAACACAAAAAAGAAATTAAGTATAAAAAAAATTGATATTATCAAGTACATTTAGATACGCTAAACCCAAATTAAACTGAAACCAATTGTTCTTAGGGTTCATACTTCTGTACTAAAAAAAAAATATATATATATATATCGGCAGCCTTTTCTGTTCCTGGAGGTGAATCATGCTCCTAAGTTAAGCTCTAGTCTGCTAGTATGCATAAGAGTGAGCAATGGTTAAGGAATACTCATTTTTTTCTTGCACACATTTTGGACCTCTTTAATATACTGTTCTTTCTTGACTAAGTTAGTACACTTTTACATTCATAATAGTTTTAACCTGTCAATCACCAGCCACCTCTCATTTATCCAAATATTCACCAATTTTTATTTTTTAATCTAATCGCTGCCATTTGAAAGGGACCGGAAAAATAAGATAGGCAAAAGTGCCCAAAGGGATAAAAAAAAAGAATTTATGTTGAAAATCATATTTAAAGTGTAAAAAAGTTTCACCAAATTTAAATCAATTTGCTTAGAGTACTTTGAATGAGTGGAAAAAAAAAAAAAAAAAAA